TTCGTACCGATTCACTGGTCTGCACCCAAAAGGGAAAAAAACATTTGGTTCAGGTACTTCATCTTTCTTAGGCATAATACTCCCCATGTGAATGATCTGTTTAAACAACGCATGAATATCTTGAACAAGCAAAGCAATTACACAGAACCAATATGTGAACCTACTAAAAAATATAAAAAAAATATAGTGACCGTACCGAGTATTTTTTTCCTACAACCAGGTAAAGGTCATTTGTATTTACACGGATCCATGAAACTTATTACATGATTAGGCGCTAAGGATTAATTTGGGGTAGCCTACTTTCATAAGCATTCAACATCTTGGCGATTTCGAGAGATTCGGTAGCTAGCGTATGGGTTAAATTCAGGTGTGAGTTAAAAGTGGGAAGCAGTAAGCAAGGAATTTTATTAACATGTATTTTGTCCTTTTCGTTATCAAGCTTACCTTTCAATTTTTTCTCTCTGATTCACAGCTCTGGTTGTAAAGGCAAATCAATTTGGAGTCGCATTCCACTCATTCTCATTCCACTAGTGGATGGCAGTTTTTGGCCAGTGACTATACTTGGTTGCAGAAAAACAAATCTGTGTACCGGACCGACTAATCCAGCCAGCTCCAACAAATCAGCCACTCGTCTGTTTGCAGCCTCCATACTTGTTTTGGTTCAATTTTGTAAAGCATTTAGTTCCTGTGTTCTTTGTTTCGACTCGTTTCACCGTCTTGACCCAATCAAAATGAACTGAAAAGGCGTATAAACAGTGCCAGATCTAGGAATGTTGACTTTTATTTACTAACTCGCGATCCAGGTGCATTTTGTTCGAAACCGAGCGGGAATTTTGTGGCTGATCCATTCATTTATCGTCTGCTTGAACAGCTTTGAATGGCCTCTTTTGATAATGAGCCTTGTCCCACACGAGACCGTATTGCACCTGCTCGAGCTTGTACTGAGAATTCACTTGACATTCCATTTACTTTTCTTTGCTGTGTGTTCTATTCTTCTGGTCTATAGTACGTGGAAAGAAAGAAGACATCAGTAAGGCCCCCCCCCCCAAAAAAATACTCGGTCTCTGGTCAGCGCGCGCGTCGATTTTAATCATGCGCGTCAACTTTTTTGTTCCCTTCAAATTAACACGGAAGCTACAACAGCGCCATCTATTGCCGCACCTCCTCACATTTTTGTACCAAGGAGCACCAAGGAATGGGGAAATTGCACCAAGGCAAATGATAAAGGGCACCAAGGCATATATTATAATGAGGACACAAAAAAGCACAATAATACCCACCTTGTCTGTACAATTCAAGCTTGAAAAAAAAAAAAAAAGCCACCCCCCCCAAAAAAAAACCGCGTCGCCGCATCAATTCCGGAACTTCGGTTTGACCAGAGACCGACTATTTTTTTTTTTTTGGCCTAAGATAAGTTAATACAAACCTGCTTGAAAATCACACTCCACGTAATGAAACAACGCCAAACTGCAATGATATTTTGAACTGATGCTGGACCAAACGATTAAATACAATGATCAGTAAAAGTAATTCATAGACCATCAGACGTTGCAAATTATATTGACATGATGACGATCGATATGACATTGGTCGTCATTGCTTCGTACACGTAAGGAGACATTTTGAATTTCACATGTACGCTCAGTCGCATACTCTTTTAGGAATACACACAGTTTGGGCCTGCCCCAAAATTTCAGTTTTACAGTAGATAGATTCGTCTATGTAATATCTCATTTGGTAATGTTACAATATATAAACTATATTGACATCGGTTTTTCGAGAATATCAACCTGCGCATGTCTTCTTTCTTCGTTAAAACTATCAAATGCCAATACATTGTTTTTTATCGGAGACAATAAATATTTCTCCCCCCGAAAATGTCCAACAAACGATTTGTGTTAAACAGTGTAGCTCATATGTGAGCCTTCAATATTTTGTCATAAGAAGTTGTAGACTTGGGTTTATAGAAAACAAGAAAGTTACATATGATGCAATGAACCAGTGATGATTACGTAAGACTATTGAGTATTTTTTGTGGTAAGTCATTTATCGACAGTTAGGACAGAAATCTTGCCATGTGCTCCACCCACCAGAAACACCCCCTTCAGTGTGTCCGTGACGTCATCGATAAAATAACGCATAGCATGCCCGCCCACACGGACACAAACACCATGAGCGTATTGGAAACCCAAAGATGGCAGCCGCTGTATTAAAGGGAAGATACAAAATTTGCAAACATCAAAAAACGAAATGATCAAATTATCACGAAATACCTTACTAAATTGTTAGGAAATGACAGTCTAAAAGCATCCTGTAAAATCGTGGCTCCTGGTGTGCTGAGATTTTCAAGAAAAACTGTATTTTTCCAATGCTGGTCGGCCGACCAGCGTTGGAGAAAACTGGCTTTTTTATATTTAGTTTTCATATTTAGTTATTCTGCATTTTCTGTGCAATTGATTACACATCTGTGAAGGGGTACAAGCCTGCTAGACTGATTCTTTGACCTTACAATTCCCCGAAGTCTATAAATTGCTCCGTTTCATCTGAAGTGGGGTCAGGGAACCAGACTACAAGAATATGATTGGTTTTCTATGTTTTTCCAGCATCTACAAGCCCAAAACGTAAAACAAGTCAGTTTAACAATACTTGCCATAACATACTAATCCTCCGAATCAATTTATTTCTAAAAATGGCAGCAAATGCAAATGTTGTACATTCCCTTTAAAACGCTGAATGAAAAGAAGGGATAATAATCTTACAAAAATAATTTAAATACCAGAACAGCTATACAAATTGGTAAAAACAGGCCCACTCTATGATCTTGTCCAGTCTTATTTACACAAGTTGCGGTAGGGGTCTAAGTCCGCCACCTTTCTACATCTACTCCTTTCCCCATTAAGTGGGACGTGAAAACCCGCTCGCGTGTTGGCTTTCGTCATTCGGAACCCCGTTATTGTGTTCGTTCAACACGAGAACTGGGTTTCGAGTACGCCCATGAGATTTGATCACGACTCTGGAAATACTTCACAATCTTTACATCTATGGTATCACTATCAATCATTGTTTCAAAACCATTTGTAGCATTTTATGTAAACCTTTCAAACTTGAAACTCATTTACACTGACCGATCACAATGATGAGATCGCTCAAAACATCTTAAATTGGTATTCCTGGGGTAACATGCCGTATTATTCCAAGTCAACGTTCGTGTACTGTAATATATGCTAAATGATAAGGTTGAATATAACATTCCACAACAAGGACTTCACAACAAGGTAGGCGTGGCGCGTGGCGTTCACTTATGTGTGTACTGTCTTGGAAAAGATTGGCCAAGGCAGCGTGAAACCTCGAGTGTCGAGTGCAAATAAAAGAGCACGTTGACAGACGAAGTAGATGAGACAGACTACTCAGCACAATACTGACAACAAGATGGAGCGCTCACCAATTACACAAATTCAATCATACACAACAATGATTCAATTAGTATTTCCTTTGACTGATGTCGCCTCTGGGTTTTTCGAATACTTCCATTATCACCAACGATCCTGCGTGTGGCACTGAACATCAATTTGTAGATAATTCGTAACTGAATTCACTGTAGTGCATTTCATATTGAAACGATTGTACCGGTAGTATTGTATATAGGTAAATCTTAGACATGCTGTAAACTGTGCGGTTTTCTTGCACCTGGAGAACTGGAAGGATGTCAAGAAATTGTATCAATGCAGTATGAGTCTATACAAACGCGAATTAAGCATCATCAAATTCCAAATGTCTCAGTAGCTTAAACAAACATTCGACTGCAGAATATAATTTATGACGATAACCAGTGCATATGTATCGTAATTCCCACTGTAACACTGAGAAGGATACCAATTGGCTATTGGCACTTTTCTATGAAATCACTAAACGAATTCCCAACCAAATGTGTCAGCCTTTGTCTGACGTCCAATGAGACAACTGCGTTTCGGCCGCTGCATGACACACGCCGACAATTTCTGCGTAGACCTTATTTTCTGGCACTGCTTGAAAGCAATACAGCGGGCTGTTATTGTTCCATCAATACCATCGACCTTTAATGGATGGTATTAGTCGGTGCAAACAACTGCGCCAAACGTTACCTCAAATTGATATCAGGCCAATCTGAGCCCAACATTGCGGTAACCATAGGTGAGTAGTACGCACTAAGCGACTAATGAATTGTTTTTCTTGTTCATTAGGCCGATTTATCTTGTAGTGCAATATCCATGTAATTGGATCGCTGTCAAGACATCAAAGCACTGAAAATTAGTACCGGCATATTACACGCTTTAAAGACCCTTGTAAAATGCTGTCCCTTTAAGAACATTTATTTTTATTTGTTACGTTAACTCATGAAATACACGTTAACATGTTGCCATACAACTCTCTTTCACGAAAGAGTTTATATGATTGTCTCTCCAAGCGTGGCTTTGGATACAGAATCTTTCATAATACATTTCAAAGTCCGCCTTGCAGGTTAAACCTGCAAGAACAAGTTAAAGCTAGAACAAGGTGGGAACGAAACATTTTCTAAAGTTAGGGCACCGTGGGAGTTGAAGCCTCCACTACTCATCCGTTTGTCCAGTATCTCGCCAAATCTTCTTAGTTTGTGATGATCGGCTTTAATGCTCCATTGGTTACGGGGGACGATGAAATAACCCTGCTGTGCATTTACTAACCATGCGTCAGTTTCACGTCTTCTTTCTTTTTAAAATTTTACAGTTTAATCCAATAAACCCAGACAGTCTGTTTTTGGTGTTCCTCCTGCGCACTTTTTGAAAACTGACGCCAGTGCACTGTCTTATCTATTAGCACATTATGCTGTCGTTGGCAACGAGCTTGGCCCACCCCTCAACGATGTTATTATACACGTAATTAGACATAAAGCCCCTGATGAAGCCTATTGCATTATCTCTGTCATCGCCAGCTTGTATAGTGTGCCACCGGTGTACCTTTGCTTGCTATTCAAAGGTAACAGCAACTGCCTGCTTGTGTGCTTTCTCCTGCGCATGCGTGGTGCACGAGTACTGAGTTGTTGTATTCCTCCAGCGCCGGCTTGTGTGTGACTGTACCTGAGGGTGTCGGTGATTCTTCGTGTTAGAACCAGATGTGTACAGTGAAGAGAAATCCCTCCTCTTGTAACTGATGCCAACTGGAACTGCGTGGAGGAGTGGGCGCATAAAAGGAAACTCCGGGAGCAAGTGGGAGACATTCACACTCGCGAAGCCCGTCATATTCAGTAGGCCAACCGTTACCTAACCTGTTTACATCGGCACAGTGTACCTCGAGATCTTGAGCAATCGTGAAGTGGATGCGAGATACCGCGCCGCGACAAGAAGCAACTCGGAGATTGTGGAGCTATAACTCCAGGGACACTTCTTCGGTTTTCTGGTTGAATTTCTGGGCGGACTAAGATGCCGGGAGTTGGGAGGAAAACGCCGCAGGTTCTGCGCACGTGGCTGTTGTTTGGCGCTGTCTGCTTGGCGTTCGTGTCGTCGTGCCGGGCGGAATCTAACGAAGTGGTAAGTTACAAGAGAACGTTTTAGTTTCAATGACTTTTCTTTTGAAACTGTCAAGCTGTATCTCTGCCCATTTTTAAATCGGGATGTGACTGAATTTGCATTTTTAAACGTTCTTTCTTGCTTTAAAAAACCCATCCCAAAATGTTGACCAACTCGTTGGTTTGTCGCAGTTCACAAGAAAATGATTGGATAAAAACGGGGTAACACATGAATGCTACTCTCTCCTTTGCCTATAGGCACAATTTAAAGGGAAGCTATTTAAAATATACCACCAAAAGCTTTTATATTTTGACTTTTCCACACTTGTGGCTGTCATGAACATTAAACAAAAGTCTGCCATACAAAATGCCCGTTTGCCTTGTTCAGAACAGCCCCTGTGCGACTTGCCACGGTACTGCACTCCGCTAACGTGAACGGTAGTAAGCCTTTATCGAGCTTGAGGGAATTTGCACAATAGATGACCATTATTCCTGGAAGAAAAAAAGGCACAGGTATTGCTCCTTTTTCCTACACACAGTGCACGCTTTGTAGCTATTGTGCAAAATCACTCGTGGGTGACGTTTGTGATAAGGTATATCTCAACGAAGAATGCGTGTATGCACCAAAATGGACACAATTTCCCCTAAGATATTATCCAAGGGCAAATTTGGGAATTCGAGATTTCGTCAGCTAGATTTCGTCATAGGTTTCGTCAGCTATAAATGATTCAAAGAAGTTTTCAATGATGAACAAAAATGGGGTTTTGTATTGTTGGAGGTGGGCGAAAGTAAATGCACGCAGCTTATCCGCCACGTATACAAATGTAAAGACTACACCCGCGAGATCGAAGTATTAAGGTTCATCACTGTGTACTCTGTAGCTTTGTGCGTGTTTCGTACCCTACGAGGTTTTTAATCCGGAGTTAATGAAAGAGAAGTAATTAATCGCCATAGAGGAAGTGCTCCAAGGTTGAAACTCAATGGGATGTGCCTACTCAGTGATTACTAGGTAGTTGAGGTGGATTAGTGCCCAGCATTGTTGCCAATTCACTGTAATTGCGCGTGGGTTTCATCATGGAGCTCCATGGTTTCATTACCCCCTAGGGAGAGTGAAAAACCTGGGGTTTCCATTGGTGTTCAATGGGCCTGAACAATGAATCGATGGGGGCGTCCACTTAGGGTTCTGTACAGATTTTCGATTAAGAGAATAGTTAAGTTAATCAGAACCTGTGGAATTTGTCTTACAAAAGGGGACTTATGTACGGTAACAAAGGTGACATTCTAACGTAATCTGCGTTGTTTTCTAATGCACGCTAGATGGTGTAAATTCACCTGATGTTGCATTCGTTGGACACTTTTGATACTGATTTTAAATTCAGATATTGGAAATGCGTTGGTGGATTCACTTTTGAAATCAAGAAATCGTCAACGTTGCGGGGCCCCACGATTCGATCCCAGTTGGGTTTTTCATTGTTATATACCAGTCAACGTTATAGGCCAACCTCAATTTTACGATTGACACATTTCAGGACACTTTTAAACAATTTGCAGTAGCTTCGTTGTCTTATATTTAATTCACAAAACAAAACACAACTGAAAAGAATTATAGACATGGCTGTCTGGTTTCATTGGCAAATAGATATAAATGAATTGTGAAGTTGTGATGGCATGTACAAAATGTACACAGCACTGAATGGGAGGTTTGCGGTAACACCATGAGAAAGTAGGATATCTCTTAGTGGGTTAGGTGGTTCTGAGAAGGACCAGTTGGTTTAACTCGACGTTTCGCACAGTATGCTGTGCTCGTCATCAGGAGACTCCGCCAACATGTGCCGAATTTGTTTTTTTCTTCAGCTATCCATAGTCTACCTGTTGATGCGATATTAACATGGCTCGGAAAAGGCGCACGGCTAGTGTGATGCACGAATCGATTTTTCTGCGGCGAAGTGTAATTGTCATTGTGGTATATGATGATTTCATGGCCACATACAGTCATTGCCACATACAGTCCATAGGCGTAGGTGGTGGTGGGGGTGGGGGGTTAGTAAGGGGGTATTTACCCCCAATATTTGTAAAGACTGCCCTTATCCATTCAAATGCCCCGCTACGAGTGCCTTTTGCTTAACTTCGCGCAAGTATTGTCCTGCAAAGCGCCATATATTGTCCGTTAGAATCGTAGGTTTTGAACAGCGCCCCCATTGACATATAGTACCCCCCCGCACTATTTAATTTTACCAAGGCTAAGTGTATGGAGAAAAAAACGTGTCTCCATTTCAGCATGTGTATGTATTCAAGAAATGTTTACCCCCCCCCCCCCAAAAGACCTTGCTGCGCCGCTGCAGTCAAGCTTCATGTTGTTTCCACATTTTATTTGGTGTCTGTATAGATTTCTTACAGGGAGCATATGCATTCACACATAAGTGATTTTGTTAGTATTTAATACTGCAGGAGTGTAATTTTATTACTTCCTTTTAACCCTCCTACGCAAAAATACATTCTTTGCCATGATGTCCTTGCAGTCAAAATCAATCAAGTGACTGCTTTCAACAGTCAAGAGCTCCCAGCCTACTTAAACCATACAGGATTGACCGGCTGTGACTGTTTATGTAACTTGATTCAGCTTTGCTTTGACTGTAGGTTATTGATAAACCAGCTGTGCCTCCCACTTGCCTGCTTTTTGTCTGTTGACTGAATTTGACTAGTCGGAGTGCTTGCTTTAAAATATGAGTTGACTGTTGGTGACTAGCCTGTGTGAAAGGCATGGCAGGGAAAGTGGGACAAAGACCCAGTTTCACAGCGCTTCACAAAAATAAAAAGGGTATTTACTAAAGGAAAAATAAATAAATTATATTTCCATCGTGACACTTTTCAAAAATTAAAAAAGACCGCATGCCCACAACTGTGATATAATATCATTGAAATATACATCATCATTGCAAAAACACATCCTGGAAAAATGGGGCCGTATCGTAAGTCCGACGCCTCATAAGTCCGACATTTCGGAATTATGAGGCGTCGGAGTTATGAGGCTTCGGTCTTACGTATTCTGCCTCATAGCTCCGACGCCTCATAAGTCCGACGCCTCAAAAATCCCACGTTGGACAAACGAGGCGTCGGTCCTATGAGGCGTCAGAGCTATGGAACGCTACATAGGTAGGTTTATTGTCCGACAACGCAAGAACGAGATTTTCCAAAGTTTATACGACGATTTGAACGAGGTTGTCTTTGAACGTGTGAGTTTGCACTGAGCTAGCCACGCGCAGTTTTTTGGCGCAAGGGTTAATGCCACGGGCGTAAATCCCGGGGGAGGGGGGGGGGGGCATCCCTTAATGTGAATGTGCAATCTGTAACTCAAACACTGGCTGGCACCAACATTCTGACATTTAACGCGGTGTTTGTATTAATTAATTATGGCTGTCGGACAAACGAGGCGTCGAACTTGCATTGTATGAGGCCGTACCTGGGAGGCGTCGGACCTATAATGGGCCGTGGGCGTCGGACTTACGGGCCTATATTTGATTGGGGATGAGATTTTGTAAAACTTATGAGGCGTCGGACTTTTAAGTCGTCGTCGGATTTACGAGCCGACCCCGAAAAAATAATATCCTTAAAAACGTTGTTTGGATTTTTAAAGTTTTTCGGAAATACTTTGTGTAAAGCGGTTTTTCACCTCCGCATTCGAGAAAACTGTTATGAAATCGTGGCACTAAGTTTAGCAGATAATCTAGTTGATATTAGGGAGAGACAGTGTGGCCCGGTCTTCACTGCGTGATAAGGAGCGGTTTGGGGGATGGATGTTGTTAATGAAGGTTCGGTCCAGCCGCGCGCATCATACGCGCGAGCACGCATGTCGGACTCTTGCGCACGCATGCCGGGCATCAATCACGGCTGTGATTGGTCAAAGAGTCATGGGGGCGGGGTTTACTGGATCGGTCTATTGTGGGAGCACGTACGTAAACGTTCACATCCGCCCCACGAGAAGTCAAATCTTGAGGGAATCACGCGCTTAAACGTGCAGCCGTGAATGACGCTAAATAGCCAGTGACTATCTCGGGGAGACCAGTAGTCGGACGTCACGTACACTATGAACCATGAAAATGGCAAAAGACAACATAAGTCCCTTGCAGTCGATAAAGAATTAATTGAAATCTTCTCGCAGTCACATCCAGGAGACATGATGTCTCAAGAGGTGTACAGCTACAAAAAGAATGTTATTTAATGGAACATTGATTTCGTGAGTCCAGACGAAATTGACAGCCTCGTCCCCAAGGTATTATTTACAACCTCGCTTGATAGAGTAACCTGGCACAGTTGGAAAGGAGACAGCTTGAACACCTGGGTTCGTGGATTTTGAAGTGATTCACCCCTCGAAGGTTTGCGATCATGTGTTTGTTGACCCTCGGAAGTCTGTTTTTTTTTATGCAATGGGAAACGTCAAAAGCAAGACATCAAAACGGAAGGAACGTAGCATGAGTTCGACAGGAAACTAGAAATTAGTGATCACAGCCTGCATAACTTATTATAGAGGTATTACTTCGACTAATACGCCATCAGACAATTCTCTAGCGCGAAAGTGCCATTTTAGACCTGAACAAAATTCTGAATGAAGAAACTTCAGTACTCGTCAATGGTTTTTTTTTTTTTTACCACAATGTCCTTATGCCTTCCCGTGTAAAACAGAGCCGCCGGTGCTAAGAAAAGACGGTGAACAAAATTTGAAAGCCTTTTGTAGTGTAGTATCAAAATTATGCACATCGGCTTAAACGACTGATCGCACCAGCCGCACATGCCCGCGCATGCGTAGTGTAGAATACACCGCCACTGGTGTGCTGGCTCCCAATAAAAGGCGAGTATGATTTAATTACGAAGGGGTTGAAATGAAATGAGATATCGTCACTGGGGGCGTTATCACAATAACCTGCAAAGGAGGTGTTATCTAAGGCATACATGCCCCTAATTAATTTTACTGGCCACGTCAGCACCTGTCGAAGATGCGACTATAAAGCCAAAGGGTCTAGGAGT